CCAGTAGTCACAACCACTGCTGCATGGCCATCGGTTATGAGAGATGTATTTATGCTCTGCCATGTAGCTTCTCTCCCAACCAAGAGAGCCACACCCTAACCTTGCTTATTACTATTGACAGTTGCACAAGCATAGAATTTTATGGTGACCTGCTGAGGTAGTTTTTTTTCCTCAGCTTTAGTAATTACTTGTGTCCCCTAAAAACGGACCAGTTCTCAGCCTTATTTTGAGTATGGGGGACATGGTAGGGTCGGATGGTTTATAACATACATCAGGTTGGTTGCTCCCTGGGCTGCACACCCTATACTGGGTAGCATTATATAAACAAGTTCCTTTGAGGGCTCTAGTGCCTTCATTACTGTAAAACAAGAGAACTGTGGAAACCTTTCGTTCTACCTTAGTAACCTTATGTATGCACTGGGAACAATCCTTGGATGGGAGGTTGACATCTACTGGGGTAGCAAAGATACAAGTCCATAGTCCAAAGAGAAGGAGTACCGGTCCCATGGGGGCAGTCCTCATGCTTTGGCTGTGTGTAGACCAGTTGGCTTCTGGGTGTGACAAGCAGGGCTTGTTGTCTCAGTTCTCCTTAAGGTAATCTTGCATGGGTTATGGAGATAGGGCTTCTCTTCCCAGGTGTCTAGTGCTGCAGGTTTCACATGGCTGTGATGGATCCACGCAGGAACTCCCTTGACTTTCACGGTGGTTGGAGTTGTTAGAATAACAGTTTGGGCTCCTTTCCACCTTGGTCATAGGGGAGCCGAGTTCCAGTCCTTGATCCAAACTCAGTCACCTGGTGAAAACGGGTGAACTGGGGAGAATAACCTGACAGACACGGGGATGTGACCCAGTGCTGGGCTCCAGCCAGCAGGAATAACATTTATTTGCAACTCTTTCAAGGTTTACAGATAGCAGAGACACTGGGAACCGAAAAAGAAGTCATCTTTCCAGCTCTTTGGTAATGCTTTTTCTTTTTCACCCTCCTTCCCATCTGGAGGGGAGGGGAGGGAGGAAGTGAGACTGGGAAACAGAAGGAGGCAAGGGGGTCTCCCCTCTCACCTTCAAGAAACCCTTAGCCCTGAGGAAGTGAGGTGAGCTGTGGTTAAGGCAGCTCCCCAGGCTGGGCTGCTGGTCTCCCCCTGCCCCTCACATAGGCTTCCCTGTCACCCCTCAGTGTCACAAAGCAAGACCTGACTATGAAAGCTTCCACATGCAGGCCAGACACACGCATCTTTGGGTTTGCACTTCCGGCATTATCTGCAGCAAGTGCTCAGTTGCAGGCCTGCTTCCCGGGAGGCTCCAGGACCCATCCCTTTATTTAGGAATTGAAAATGAACTGGAACTGAGGAGTTTTGAACTGGAAGACATTTCAGAAATAATCAAATTTAATAGTTTCCAACCTTTTGGGATTGCAGACACCTTTGGAGATCTGATGTAGAAAGAGAGCCCACAAATCTGCACACCACTGCGAGTTTAAGGAGCCCCTGAGGTGCCCACGCAGCCCTTTACGGTTAGCTGAGGAGGCTGCAGCTGAGCCCTGTCTCCCGAGGCACAGGGCTGGGCTTAATGGGAAAAACAGCACCCACGTCACAGCAGGTGGCAGAAGCTCACTGGCTATGCCACGTCTGATTAAGAAAACTCTGGTGAGCGTTTTTGAGAGGCTGCATTTTAGAGGTCTTGTTTCAGGTTTTCTGTGTGGCCGATCTATGTTCTATGTTCTATGTTCTATGTTCAAGGCTGGCTGCCAGGAGTGGACTGGAATTGCTGGGGCTCCACATCAGCGCTACAGAGAGGCAGATAAACTGCAACAAGTCTCTTCCCAGGAGAACAAAGTCTCAGTGACAGGAGCCTCTGCCCCTGACCCCCAAACCATCCTGTCCTCTACTTTGTGGGCTTCTGAAAGGAACAGAAAGGACCACAGCCAAATCTGCACCTACAAAGGATCTCAGCAGAATCCACATGGCCTACACCTTCCTTATCCCATGAGCCATGGATTTCAGGGTTCGAGCCCCCAGCCAATGGAACAGACCCCCTCTTAATCAAGGGGACCCCAGGGAAACCTGAAAAAATGAATTCCTGGCCATGATGGAAGGGGAGGTCAGAGAAGCCTCGTAAGAGCCTTGCACCTTTGGAGTATAGAGCCCCCAGACTGACCAGCATGAATGTTAAAATAGGCATCGTTAGATTATTCAGAATGGACTCTGACAATCAGGTACAGATTATGAACACCTGAGGCCATACCAGGCCGGAATTAACACACAACCTAGAAACCACAGTCTCCTTCACTGGGTTTTAAATTGACCGAGGATACTGTGGCTGACTTACCTCCCTGACTCTGGGACAGCATCACGTGGCAGAGGCAGACCCTCTCTCTGAAGATGCCTTTGTATCAACTTCATGTCTTTAGAGAAAGCTGAACTCTTTTAACCAATTGTCAGTTGGAAAATCTTTGAATCCACCTGTGACCTATAACAACCCCTGCCCCCACCTCAAGTTACCTCATCTTGTTAGGCTGAATCAATGTATACCTTCCATGGGCTGATTTTTCATGTTACTCCAATTCCTGTCCCCTCAAATGTGTAAAACAACTGCCCCACACACATTTTTTCAGGACCTGTTGAGATCCCCAAACCATGGTCACTCATATTGGCTCAGAAGAAACCTCTTACAGATAATTTAACAGTTTGGGTTTTCTGTTAACAGCCCCAGCCGCAGGCCTTGGCACACCTCTTGCTCGGCTTGGGAATTCCCAAACTGGCTACAGGCCCCCAGCCCTCCCCTCCCAACCAGCACACACTTCAGCTCACCATCAGCTCCACCTGTGCTCACCTGGGTGGGCCTCTGTCAGCTGCCGATCCACACCTGTTTCCCACCCCTCCTGACTGCAGGGCGCCCCCTCCGTGGGCAGTGCTCACTGCCACTCAGCCCCTCAGTCCCTGAGCTCCCTAGCGTTCTCCATCTCCATGGGGTGCTGGTATCCTCAGGCCAGGACTCCTTTGGTATAACCTGGCTCCTGCTATGAAATGTACATCTAGTTCCTGGAATGTGTGACTGAGTCCCCATGTAAACCTCCTCGATCATCTGGACTGCGGGGCATAGCCCCCACCTTTCTGCTGGTGGTGAGCAATGAAGCAGACAGCTTCAACTGGGCTGGCAAACACCTGACATCCAATGCAGTGCCAGTCTCGGGATGAAGCTGATGCTGCGCACAGAATGGCAGAAAAACCAGCAGGTCCAACCTACTTTCAGGTCACCCTGTCTGTCTTCCTGGAGCTGGCAGTTTCACAGGCCATTATATTACCTCTATTACATATGGCAATTTTAGGTGGCTTTTCAACAAGTGCAACATAAAAGTTCCAACTGTCAAGTTCACCCTCCTAACAAAGTTATTCTGGATGTGATGTCTCCACCACTGTCCTGTTTCTAGAGCCCCAGCAGGTGTGTCCTCCTGGGTGGCAGCCTCACTTCCGGCATCTGGTGCCATCACACCAAGCCCAGGCCTGGCACACCACAGGCCCTCGGCCACTGTTTGTTGAATGAATAAATGAATCTTTCAGGTCTGACAAGGAAAGCCCAGGCTTCTATCAAGAAAGCTACACAAATGCAGAAGTCACACTAAATCCTGGGAGCAAGAGATGACTGAATGTCAACTGAGGCCACTGTGTTTTGAGGAAGCCGCAGCCACTGGCGAGCATGGAGGGAGAGACAGCACAGGAACAGAGCACAAACCTCTCCCACTCTGTGTGATTGGCAGGTTTCTGACTCTGAATATTAGTCAGACTCAGACTAGCAGTACTCAGTGGTGCTTTGGGGCAGCTCCTTACCTCTTGTAATTCCTAGGCCAACTCCTGCTTGACACTGAAGTGTTCTGAGAATACTCTAACGATGACCCATGGACTTACTGCCCAGACTTGATGCTCGTTAGACAGTTCCTTGGAGGTGGTGTTGGATGCCAAAGATCCAGAATCTCAGCAGCCTCCACCTGCTGGCCCTGGGTCCCTGCTGCTGACTCCCAGCTTCTGGTTTCCGCTGAGGAAGGCTGCAGAACAGCACCTTTAGGGGAAGCCTTGACTTTTCCAATTCTGGGCTCTCTCCTGTTTTCCTGAATGCCCCTACCAGAAACCTGGCCATTGTCTCTGAGCGCTTCCTCATCCCTGTGTGAATCATTCCAACTCCTGCCATTTCTACCCCCAAATGCACTCCATGTGTTCAGGTCTCAGCTTCTTAACTTCCTCACTCTGGTAAAGCCACTGCTGTCTCATGGGCCTCTGCTAGCCCAGGTGAAGCCAGTGCTAGGCACAGCCTCAAGCCATGCAGCCCACTGGATGCAGGGTTTAGTGGGCAAGCAATGCCTTTGAGCAAATAAAAAAAAAGGTGCCTTTTTATTTAAAGCCATTCTCAGCTTCATGCCATGGCTCATGGCTTGGCAAGCAGAGGGAGGCCCGACTAGTTCCCATGAGCCCCTCTGGGCCAGCTGCTCTTGTACAGTGAGCACCTGCATCCCTGTACTGGGGGCCCTGCTTCCATTCCTACCTCCTCTGATCCATTGTTCACCTGCAGCCAGAGTGATGCGCGCACGCGCACACACACACACACCCCTCCTCCTCTCTGTGAGCAGGATGTTGACATCCTCCCCTTGCTCTTGGAATAGAGTCCAAACTACTTAACCTAGATGATGGGCCCTGTGTGGCTGATCATCAACAGGTTAGCTAATCTTTGGAAGGGAAGTTTCCCTTCAATAGCATGTAAATTGGTGTGGAAAAAGGCTTTTTCTGTTAGGTTTTGCTTTTGCCTATCTTGTAATTCGGACCCCTTAAAATTTTAGCACCCCAGCATGTTTTAGTGACTGAAATGAACATTTTGATCAGGCCCTTGCTGGCTTGCACGTGTTAACCACTTGCTTTTGGCCCAATATTCCTTGTTCCCACAATCCAATGAAAAGCTGCTCATGTACTGTTTCTTTGCCCAGCAGGAAGACATAGCTTTAGGGTCAGGACAAGTTTGCAGAAGCAATGAATGCCTTGAAGGACACTGTGACCAGCTGCTAACACCCAGAAGCCTGATTGCTCAAGGTGTTATCCGACACTGAAGAAACACAGACTTTTCCTCTCAATCCCCCTTCCTTACTCTCTAGCTGCATAAAAACGTTCTACTGCTGCTGCTTCATTGAAGTGAATTTGAGTGACCTTGTTCTCCTGCCTTCTCACTTTGGTCAAACGGAATAAAACTTTCACTATCTCCAGGCACCCGCATGTCAGTGTTTGGCATCAGCTCCACATCGGGTACAAAAGCACGAATTTCGGCTTCCCCAACATCTGCAGTGCAAAATATTTGACAATGGGCATGGCATAGCCTCTGACCAACAGCCAGAACGCACACAAGCCACACACAGGCATGTCTGTCTGCTGAATATCAACCTTGCTCCTGGCTGAAATGATCCCCGGACGGAGGAAGTGCATCGCACACAATTGTTGACTGAATCAATGAATGTGTGGAGGTGGAGGTTGGTGAGGTAAGTGCAAGGAACTGCCAACAATTGATGCTTTGTGGACCAGGGAAACCTCAGCAGGGAGAAGCCTAGCTGGGAAGGGCCTTGTTACCAAGCATGGGGACTTGGCCTCTGGTCAGTGGTGACTGATCACAGGGTAAATGGCACAGTTCTCAGGCTTGTGGTGTCTCAGAAACAGGGACAAGGGTGGATCTCAGACAGTACCAAGTGTGCCAGGTGGAAGAGAGATGCTCAGGGCCTGAACAGCCAAGAGGATCCTGGGCTGTTCCACACCCTGAGTCTCCCCTTCCAGGTCATTCCCTATGACCACAAAGGGAATGTATACTGGGCTTCCTGCTGTGCTACATGCAGTACAGGCCTTTGACCCTCGGGTTTATGATTATCAAACATTCAGAAGCCAACCAATGAGGCAGCCTTGTTGGGAGAGACGGCACAAGGACAGAGCAAAAACTTCTCCCCCTCCACGTGATCGGCAGGTTTCTGACTCTGAATATTGGTCAGCCTCACACTAGCAGGACGCAGTGGTGTACTTTCTAGAGGTGGGAGGGCCCCGGACGGTATTTCCTGGATGCCAGTGAGCAGCTGAGAGCTGAAGCTCCCTGGACACTCAAGGCTCTTGTGGTGACAGGTGAGGGGACATGGGTGGAAGGACAGGGCTCTGAGCCTGCACCTTCCTTGGGATCTGGAGGCTGGGCTGTTTTTTGTGCTTGCCTTTTATGCCCTCTCAGCAACCTAAATATTTGTTATCAAGGCGGAAGGAGTCTTCGCTGAAACTTGTGCTTGGACACAAGATTTCTGTACTGTACGGTCCCTGGAGAAGGACCAAAGGGCTGGATATGTGGCCTGTGGCAGTTGCCCTCTCAATGCACGAAGAAGCTGAGATCCAGAAAAAGGGAACAGAGGGAAGAGTGGTGGGTAGTTCACCTATCCCAGGGCTTTATAGAAGGTATTTTATTCAATCTTCAAAACAATTCTAGGGGCCAGGCGTGGTGGTTTACACCTGTAATTCCAGCACTTTGGGAGGCTAAGGCAAGCATATCACAAGGTCAGGAGATTGAGACCATCCTGGCTAACATGGTGAAATTGCATCTCTACTAAAAATACAAAAAATTAGCCAGACATGTGGCATGTGTCTGTAGTCCCAGCTACTCAGGAAGCTGAGGGAGGAGAATTGCTTAAACCTGGGAGGCTGAGGTTGCAGTGAGCTGAGATCATGCCACTGCACTGCAGCCTGGAAGGCAGCACAAGACTCTATCTCAAAAAAAAAAAAAAAAAAAAAAACACCAAAAACTCTAGTCTTCTCCCATGTTCTATGGATGAAGAAACAGAGGCTCAGAGAGGTTAAGTGACATGCCCAAGGTCACACAGCTAGAAAGGGACAGAACCAGATTCCAGTGCAGGTGTTTCTGACCCTACCTTCTCCCAGTGGCAGAGGCCTGCTTCCTCATGGGCAAAAGCAGAAAGACACACCCTTGAGCAGGTCTCCCCGTTCCTGCAAGGCTGGAAGCTGTGCAGGCATTCACCTGGTTTCCTCTCTCTTCCTCAGGCATCCTGTAAAGGCGTGCAGGGAGTCTAGCTCTCTCTTCTGGACTTTGAGATTTCAGACACAGAAGTTTGTCCATGGCTCCTTATCACATCCGCAAATACCGGGAGAGCGACCGCAAGTGGGTCGTGGGCTTGCTCTCCCGGGGGATGGCAGAGCACGTCCCAGCCACCTTCCAGCAATTGCTGAAGCTGCCTCGAACCCTCATACTCTTACTTGGGGGGCCCCTCGCCCTACTCCTAGTCTCTGGCTCTTGGCTCTTGGTCCTCGTGTTCAGCCTCAGCCTCTTCCCTGCCCTGTGGTTCCTTGCCAGAAAACCCTGGAACATGTTTGTAGACATGACACTGCACACAGACATGTCTGACATCACCAAATCCTACCTGAGTGAGCGTGGCTCCTGCTTCTGGGTGGCTGAGTCTAGAGAGAAGGTGGTGGGCATGGTGGGAGCTCTGCCCGTTGACGATCCCACCTTGATGGAGAAGCGGTTGCAGCTGTTTCACCTCTTTGTGGACACTGAGCACCGTCGTCAGGGGATAGCAAAAGCCCTGGTCAGGACTGTCCTCCAGTTTGCCCGGGACCAGGGCTACAGTGAAGTTGTCCTGGATACCAGCACCATACAGCTCTCTGCCATGGCCCTCTACGAGAGCATGGGCTTCCAGAGAACAGGCCAGTTCTTCTTCTGCATTTGGGCCAGGCTAGTGGCTGTTCCTTCAGTTCATTTCATCTACCACCTCCCTTCTGCTCAGGCAGGGGGTCTGTGATCTCTTTCTTTGTGTATTGGTCAGAATATAATCAATTCGGCTGTAGCAGCAAGCAATCCCCAACCTTTCACTGCAATGACACAATAAAAGCTTATTGTCCATTCACATCTGAGTCCCACATGATTGGTTGTGGGGTGGCTTCTGGGTTTCTGCTTCATTCAGTCTTTTTGAGTCCCATCTGTTTCATTTTTCTATTGCCAGGATAATGTTGCATAAAAACAACCATGCAATGAAATAAATATTTATTTAGCTCATGAGTTTGCAGGTTAGCAATTTTGGCTGAGCTTGGCTGGGCAGTTCCTCTGGTCTCATATTGCATTGTGCAAATGCAGTGGGATCAGCTGAAAAACTAGGTCAATGGTGCTTTTTCGTTTTCCTGCATGCTAGCTGAGGCACAGTTTCAAGGAAATTGCAGAGGAGCAAAAACAAAAGCAGAAACAAACAAATGTGTTTTCAAACCCCTGCATGGGTCCCCTGCATGTGTCTCATCTCCCCCAAAATCAGGGGGCAAGAGGAACCTGCCTCTGTAGTGAGAAGAGCTGCAAAGTCACATAGCAAAGGGTGGAATGCAGCCATGGGAGAAGAATTGGGGCCAGAGACACAATCAATCCACTCTAACCCCACGCTGTCTGCAGAGGGGAAAAAGGTGGCCTTGGCGGGGAGTGTGGGATTTACCATGGGCTCGACCTGGGAGTAGTATAGCTCTTCCAGGGGGTTATGATAGAATTCCTGAGACTGGGTAGTTTATAAGGAAAAGAGGTTTATTTGGCTTACGGTTTTGCAGGCTGTACAAAAAGCATAGTGCAGGCATCTGCTTCTGGTGAGGGCCTCAGGAATCTTTTACTCACGGTGGAAGCTGAAGGAGGAGCAGGTGTGTCACATGGCAAGACAGCAAGCATGAGAGATGCTAGGTGCTTTCAAACAACAAGCTTACATGTGAACCAACAGAACCAGAACTCAGTCATTTCCACTGACAGAGCACCAAACCATTCATGAGGAAGCCACCCCCATGACCAAAACACCTCCCAGTAGGCCCCACCTTTAACACTGGGGGTCCTATTTCAACATATGATTTGGAGGGACCAAACATCTAAACTGTATCAGTCTGCCCTTGACCTCCAAATCTCATGTTGTCTCACATTGTAAAATGCAATCATCCCTTTCTAATAGTTCTCCAAACTCTCAACTTGTTCCAGTATCAACTCAAAAGTCCAGGGTCCATAGTTTCATCTGAGCTTCAAGACAAATTCCTTCCACCTATGAGCCCATTGGATCAAAAACAAGTTACATACTTCCAAGATACATTTGTGTTACAGGTATTGGGTAGACGTTCCCATTCCAAAAGGGAGGAATTGGCCAAAAAAAAAAAAAGAGGCAACAGGCCCCACATAAGTCTGAAACCCAGCAGGGCAAACATTAAATCTTAGAATTCCAAAATAATCTTCCTTAACTCCATACTGGTGAGAGGAGTGGGCTTTCAAGGCCTCAAGCAGCCCTGTCTCAATGGCTTTGCTGGGTGCAGCCCACATGGCTGCTCTCTCACAGGTTGGAGTTGAATGCCTGTGGCTCCTCCATGCTGAGGTTGTAAGCTGCTGGTGACTCTACCTTTCTGTGGTCTGGAGGACACTGGCCCCGTTCCCACAGCTCTACTAGGCAATGCCCCAGTGGGGACTCTGTGTGGGGGTTCCAACCCTGCATTTTCCTTTGACTCTGCCCTAGAAGAGGCTCTCTGTGGGGGCTCTTCCACTGTGGCAGGTTTCTGCCTGGTCGCTCAGGCTTTTTGATATATCCCCTGAAATCTAGGTGGAAGCTCCCAAGCCTCCTTCACTCTTGCATTCTGCAAGCCTGCAGACCTTAAATTATATGGAAGGCAGGGCATGGTGGCTCACACCTATTATTCCAACACTTTGGGAGGATAAGGTAGGTGGATCAGCTGAAGTTAGGAGTTCAAGACCAGCCTAACCAACATAGTGAAACCCCATCTCTACTAAAAATACAAAATTAGTTGGGCATGGTGGTGTATGCCTGCAATCCCAGCTACCTGGGATGCTGAGGCAGGAGAATTGCTTGAACCCTGGAGGTGGAGGTTACAGTGAGCTGAGATGGTGCCATTGCATTCCAGCCTGAGAGGGCAAGACTCTGTCTCAAAAAAAAAAAAAAAAAATACCACATGGAAGCTGCCAAGGCTTAGGGCTTGCACCCTCCAAAGCAGTGGTCTGAGCTGTATCTGGGGCTGTTGGAGCCAAGGCTGGAGCTGGAGAAGCTGGGATGTGGGAAGTAGCATCCTGAGGTAGCACAAGGTAATGGTGCCCTGGGCCTGGTCTCTGAAACCATTCAGTCCTCCTAGGCCTGTGGCCGTGTGATAGGAGGGGTGTTCTGAAGTGCCTCTGAGGCCTTTTCCCACCGTCTTGAATATTAGCGCCTGGCTGCCTTTTACACATGCTAATGTCTCTAGCAAGTGGTTGTTCAGCAGTCTGCTTGGATTCCTCCTTCTCTACTCACATGGCCATGCTGCAAGTTTTCTAAATTTCTACACCCTCTTTCCATTTTAATTATAAGTTCTGGTAAAAGGAATATGTTAGCCGGGCACGGTGGCTCACACCTGTAATCCCAGCACTTTGGGAGGCCGAAGCAGGTGGATCATGAGGTCAAGAGATCGAGACCATGCTGACCAGGCATGGTGGTGCGTGCCTGTAATCCCAGCTACTCAGGAGGCTGAGGCAGGAGAATTGCCTGAACCCAGGAGGCGGAGGTTGCGGTGAGCTGAGATCGCACCATTGCACTCCAGCCTGGGTAACAAGCGAAACTCTGTCTAAAAAAAAAAAGGAATATGTTATACAAATAAATTTAAACAGAGTTTAATTGAGCAAGAAGAATTAATAATTTGCAACCTGGGCAGTGCTCTGAATCACAGCAGATGCAGACAGGCACCAGGGATGCTGTGTTGTCAAAGCAGATTTGTGGACAGAAAAAGGAAAGTGACCACAGAAAAGGGAAGTGAGGTACAGAAACAGCCAGCTTGGTCACAGCTTGGTGTTTGCCTTATCTGAGCGTGATTCAAACAGTCGGCTGCCTGTGAGTGGCTGAAGTATGGCCAATGGGATTGGCTGAGACTCCAGCTATTGCTAAAGAAGCATCCTCCTAAGTTAAGTTTTCAGTCTGCCTACCTACTAGTTACGTTATGGTTCACCCTTAAGGACTCACGTATGGAAGTATGAAGGCTTTCTCAGGCCAGGTTTGAGTTTGATTTATCAATTCCCCTGTTTTTGTCACTCTCAATTTAGAGAGATTGACCAAAACTTTAGGCACTGATGCCACTCTCTCACTATCGTAAATGATCTCAGTATGAGTTCACAAGCCTTTATTGGTGTCACTGTGGAGTTCACAAGTCACAGCTTCACACTAGGTGAATGATTCTTTATGTTCTTGCTGACCTAGTCTAAGTGAGACCATTCAATTCTCAATGTATGGTTGCATACAAAACATTTAAGACTTGAGAGAATGAAGCACACCACAGGAACTATTATTATGACTATCAAGAGAATAATATCAAAATACCAAGGTGCACTCCTTAACAAAAGTTCTCAAGAAATAAACTAAACCTAATTAAACAAGTCAAAGTTCAGGCAACAAAACGGTTCAACAATACTAAAGTTTAATTGGTCACAGTTCTGGTTTGAAATGTGATAGCAATGAAGGATCATAGCTCACTATACGTGGCCTGATTTAAAGACGTTTCCATTTTCGTTGTTACTCTGGTAACACAAGCCATACTAACCTCGACACCTGCTAGAAGGCATATAAAGACTAGAAACCTTTGGGAAACCCAAGCTTGCCATCTACAATTTAGGACGTCTACAAACCAGCTGTTAGTTGTTCCTGTAAACACACCATATTTTCCTCTTAATAGACTTCTTTATTGTATTTGGTGTCAGTGCCTAAGGAAAGAGCAGTATCAGCTACCTTTACATTAAGCTTTCTGTAGTAACACAATCAGGAGAGAGATAAGTGTAGCATTCTGTTTTGTTCAACACTGAACAGGTTCCCAGCTTGAATAAAAAGATATGAAGCTGCATGATGTTAACTGTAACATCTACCTTTTTTTTTTTTTGCTTGAGACAGGGTCTCGCTCTGTCACCCAGGCTGGAGTGCAGTGGCGCAATCTCAGCTCACCATTACCTCTGTCTCCCGGGTTCAGGTGATTCTCCTGCCTCAGCCTCCCAAGTAGCTGGGACTACAGGCATGTTCCACCATGCCTGGCTAATTTTTTGTATTTAGTAGAGACGCGTTTTTACCATGTTGGCCAGGCTGGTCTCGAACTCCTGACCTCAGGTGATCCACCTGCCTTGGCCTCCCAAAGTGCTGGGATGATGGGCATGAGCCACTGCACCCGTCCACATCTACCTTTTGGAGAGTAGCTTCTACCTGTCTGAAACACTGGGAGGTCTGATTGGCTGCAAAATCCAAGACCCCCAATATGGATTAGCTTTAGATTCCATACAACTAGTATCCCACTACCACCAAGACTGAGCCCCCAGGAACCCCACTGGAATTTTTCCTCAGTGGAATCTAGCTTATCTTTGTCTATTTCAAAGCTAGTGCTAATTTCAGTTACTATTTTGGCCTACAATCATAAGAGCTGTTAAGAGAATTTTTAGGAGAAACTATTTGAAAGGCAGAAGTGAGCCAGACCAAACAGCAAGATCTGAGCCAACGAGGAGGCCGAATGAAATATGCAGGTTATCCACAGACCCAATACAGGCCCTTGGGAGTTGAAAAACAGGGCCACCTAGTTGCATTTGAGCCGGGTCAGTTAGATTTGTTCATTAATAAATCTGCATAGCTCCTGAACAAAATCCACTGAGAAATTTACCTTTTTGTGCCCACCTTATAGCATGTCGTAAGGTGTATAACACATTTAGCCAAAAGAGACCCTGTTGCATTTAATCTGGTGACATTATACAAGCAATTACTTGTACTCACATCGGTAATTCCCATATCTTGAGTGCATGTTGCCTGAAAGCACAATATCTTTTTTGCAGTCATACTTGGATTGGTTTCCTATATTTGGTAATGATTGGGTTATTAATTGAAATAGTTAAGGCCAGGCATGGTGGCTCACGTCTGTAATCCCAGCACTTTGAGAGAGCAAGACTGGCGAATCACTTGAGGCCAGGAGTTTGAGATCAGCTTGGCCAACATAGTGAAACCCTGTCTCTACTAAAAATTAGCTGGGTGTGATGGTACATGCCTTTAATCCCAGCTACTCGGGTGGCTGAGGCAGGAGAATTGTTTGAACCTGGGAGGCAGAGGCTTCATAAAATGAGGCCACTGCATTACAACCTAAGCAACAGAGTGAGACTGTCTCAAAAAAAAAAAAAAGGAAAAGTTGAGTGCAGGAAAGCCAAAGCAAGTAGCAGTGATATTCAGATTGAGGGCAATAGGGACAACAGTAGTGCCATTGTGTCCACAGCACCTTGTTTAACTGCTTTATAACTTGCCTAATAAAATCAGAATATCAGGAATAGCTTCCCATGGTACCTTTGGCCAAAGCAACCCAACTGATTCTGTTAACTTTGCCAATTTCAGTTTTAATATGCCGTGTGTTCTTTCAACCTTTTCAGAAGACTGGGGGCAATAGGGACAACAGTAGTGCCATTGTGTCCAGGCACCTTGTTTAACTGCTTTATAACTTGCCTAATAAAATGAGTCCCCCTATTGCTGGGGGTCTTTCCAGGGATGCCCCTAAAGGAAACACATTTTCTAATAATTTCTTAGCTACCGTCACAGCATCAGCTTTTCTACACAGGAAGGCCTCTACCCAACCAGAAAACATGCAAACTATTACAAGAACATACTGAGACCCCCATTGAAACTGGCAACTGAATGATGTCCGTCTATAAATGTTCAAATGGTCCATTAAGTGGTGGAAATACACCACTTAACTTGTTTTTCCAGGACTATGGATTTGAGAAGCCAACATTGGTTATAAAATATTCTAGCAATTTTGGAACAGTCATCCCACAGGCATTTTTTCCCAATTTGGATCAATTTTTCTGTTCCATGATGAGTTGTGGAGTGCAGAGCTTTTGACAATGGAAGGAACGGGCAGCCATCTAGGCCCTCTGTGAGTTTGCGATTAACATTGAATTTATATCCTTTTAGATACCAATTTTGTTTTTCCAAATCAGGTGCAGTACATTGTTTATTAAATAGGTCATTGTAAGGTAGTTGGTTTGGATTAATCTTATGGAGTTCATTCAGATTGCATATCCTAACAGTTTCAGTGCTAGCTGATTTAGCATGAAATATCTGCTAAGCATTTCCTTGATATTCAGGTTCAGTCTGCAGGTATGAGCTTTGAGCAATAACAGCATCAATGATGATAACATGATGGCACAGAGGAGTTTATCTAATCGGAGTCTATTTTTAATGGGGGTCCCACTAGAAGTGAGAAACCCTTAGAGTTTCCCTAGCATGTCAAAATTGTGTACTACTCCAAAAACATATCTATTGTCTAAATACTTACTGATTTCTCTTTAGCTATATGACAAGCTTGAGTGAGGGCAAAAGTCTCCAGGGGTTAAGCTGATTTATAGAGCTTATCCTAATAGAGTTGACTAATAGGGGAAGGGGTCCCTTCTCTATTAACTCATTTTAGTGGTAACGGCGGCGGCGGCGCTGGACGCGGCTCCTGAGTCCCGCGCACCCAGGGTCTGGCCGCTGGCTCCAGCCGTCTTGCACCGCTTTGCTCTATCCGTGCTCCGTTCGAACTCTGCAGTCCCCGTACCTGCTCCTCTCGGCCGAGGAGCTCCGGGGCGGCGGGGTTCCCTTTCCGACTTTGCCTTTGCTGGCCCCGCTTGCACCCAGTCCCGCTCGCCTGGAGCGAGGCGCGCGCTGGTCTTGGTAACTGGCGCCGCGGCTGCCGCAGAGCCTTTCCACCGGCGGCCCGAGAGGAGGGCTGGGGTTGGGGAGGCGTGAGCGCGGCTTCCCGGCCCGGGGTTGGCGCTCGTCCGCCCGCCCTGCCCCTGCCTCGGCCCGGAGCCCTAGAGCCGCGGCCCCCTCCCAGTGCAGGGGCCGGCGGCCGTGGTAGGGTGGGCGCCGCGCGGAGGCAGGGCGGGTGTATTCAATGGAAGTATGTTACCAGCTGCTGGCACTGCCCTTGGACAGGCAGGTCCCCCAGCACGTCCTCAGCCGCCGCGGAGCCATCAGGTTCAGGTACAGCTCCACGCTCTTCGGCTGCCCCAATCCCCGGCAGCTCTCTCAGAGGCGTGGAGCTATTTCCTATGACAGTTCTGATAAGCCTGTGTTATACAATCGTATGCCAGGAGATGTAAGTGTAAGGAGCTGAGCAGGATTTGAATCAGAAAGAAGAGGTACTCACCCATATATTGATTTTCGCATTTTCCACTAGCAAGCATTTCAAGAAAGAGGAAGTGTGGGGACTGAGAGTGTCTGAAGATCTGGGCCTAGACCTGACATAGCATCACATTTCCATATTCTGTTGATTAGCTGTGTCACACAGCTTGCTCAGAGTCATGGAAAGAAGACCCAGCCCTCTCCCCACCCCGACTGTCAAAGGCTCAATCTGAAATTGAAGTGTCTGTCTCTGCAAGGAATATCAGAAGGCTACAAAGTTTCCAGCGATATCTTAGATCTTCAAGCTTTTTTCGTGGTACTAGTTTCAAATTCTCTTAACATTTTAGATGATGATTATAATGGACAAGCCAAGTGTATGCTGGAAAAAGTTGGAAACTGGAATTTTGATATCTATTTGATAGACTAATAAATGGAAATAGTCTAGTAAGCTTAACCTTTCATTTATTTAGTCTTGATGGATTGAGTACTTCCATTTAGATATGATGAAACTTCGTATTTTTAGTTATGATTCAAGATTACCACAGTCAAAAGCCTTACCATAATGCAGTCCACGCTGCAGATGATACTCGGGCCATGCATTATTACTTAAAGGAACCTAAGCTTGCCAATTCTGTAACTCCTTGGGATATCTTGCTAAGCTTAATTGCAGCTGCCCCTCATGATCTGGATCATCCAGGTGTTAATCAACCTTTCCTTATTAAAATTATTACTTGGCAACTTTATACAAGAATACCTCAGTACTGGAAAATCACCACTGGAGATCTGCAGTGGGCTTATTGAGAGAATCAGGCTTATTCTCACATCTGCCATTAGAAAGCAGGCAACAAATGGAGACAGTTGGAAGGGACTGCAGAGAGAACAGTCCAGCAGTGAGGACACTGATGCTGCATTTGAGTCGAACTCACAGTTATTACCTCAGGAAAATCGGTTATCATAACCCCCAGAACCAGTGGAACGAACTGCCTCCTGGAGGTTTTTAGAAATGTGAGATGGGGTCTTAAGGTGAGAAAACTTACTCTTGACCGCCAACGTTTCCAAGTGAGTGATGCCAGCCAGCATTATTTATTTCCAAGATTTCCTCTGTTGGATCATGTGAACCCACTTATTAATTATAAGACCTGAACATACAGCAATATGAATTTGGCTTTCATGTGAAACCTTGAATATGCCAAGCCCAGCAGGAGAGAATCCAAAAGGAGTAACAAAGGAGTTTGGAGGTGTGCCATGACTTTTTCAAAGCATCTAATCTTCAAAACGTGAAACTTGTTCAACAACAGTCTCTTGGAATTTAACCAGTCTGATGCAACAGTGTGTATCTTGTACCTTCCACTAAGTTCTCTCTGAGAAAATGGAAATGTGAAGTGCCAAGTCTCTGCTGCCTCTGGCAAGACAGTGTTTACAAATCAACTCTGAAATATTGGTTCTAAATTGCCCTGGAGCATGATTGTGAAGGAACCACTAAAACAAATTAAAAGATCAAACTTTAGACTGCAGCTCTTTCCCCCTGGTTTGCCTTTTCTCTTCTTTGGATGCCACCAAAACCTCCCATTTGCTATGGTTTTATTTTGTGCACTGGAAACTGAGCATTTGTCATAGAGTACCACCAAGCTTTCACTCCAGTGCTGTTTAGCAATGCAATTTTTTTTTTAAACAATTAGTTTTTAATTTGGGGCGGGAGGGGAAGAACACCAATGTCCTAGCTGTTAATTATGACCCTGCAGTGAAGACACTGCATGTTTTCATTACTGTACACTTGACCTGCACATGCAAGAAAAAGCTGGAATGTTTATAACACCATAATCAGCTCAGGGTATTTGCCAATCTGAAATAAAAGTGGGATGGGGAAGTGTGTCCATCAGATCAAGGGTACTAAAGTCCCTTTCACTGCAGTGAGTGAGAGGTATGTTGTGTGTGAATGTATGGATGTGTGTTTGCATGCATGTTTGTGCATGTGTGACTGTGCATGTTATGTTTCTCCATGGGGGAAAAGATTGAAATGTAAGCTTTTATTTATTATTTTAGAATGGGACATATGAGCAGCCACAGTTGGGGGAGGAAAAGGTCGGTAAGTAAGCCGTAACAGATTGCTCCAGTTGCCTTAAACTATGCACAAGGCTAAGTGACCAAACTTCTCGTTTTGATTTGAAAAAAAGTGCATTGTTTTCTTGTCCCTCCCTTTGATGAAACGTTACCCTTTGACCGGCCTTTTGATGTGAACAGATGTTTTCTAGGACAAACTATAAGGACTAATTTTAAACTTCAAACAATCCACTTTTGTAATTTGTTTTAAATTGTTTTATGTATAGTAAGCACAACTGTAATCTAGTTTTAAGAGAAACCGGTGCTTTCTTTTAGTTCTTTTGTAATTCCCTTGTTACTGTAAAAGACTGTTTATTAATTATGTTTACAGTTTGTTGCAACAGCCATTTTCTTGGCGGAAAGCTTGAGTGTAAAGCCATTTGTGAAGGCCTTTGCCATACTCATTTTAATATGTGCCTGTTGCTGTTAACTTTTGATGAATAAAAACCTATCTTTTCACATTTAAAAAAAATATAGGAGAAACACTGAAAACAGATGATGGATTTTAGGAAGTAGAAGGCATAATCAATCTCCTCTTCCATAACTGAAATATACAAACAAAAGGAAACCAAACATGAAAAGAATGTTAAGAATCCGGAGAAGGGGCTCAACTCATATCACAGATTTAGAGCTAAGACACAGCTCTTTCTCCACAAAGGATCACACATACAGAGGGTGAAACGTGAGTCATTACATTCAAATACCCTACTGATATCCCACTTTTGGTAGAAAAGGTGACTGAGGTAATAAGTGGCACAGAAGAAAGAGATAAACTTGGCCGGGCGCGGTGGCTCAAGCCTGTAATCCCAGCACTTTGGGAGGCCGAGGCGGGTGGATCACGAGGTCAACAGATCGAGACCATCCTGGTCAACATGGTGAAACCCCGTCTCTACTAAAAATTACAAAAAATTAGCTGGGCACGGTGGCGCGTGCCTGTAATCCCAGCTACTCGGGAGGCTGAGGCAGGAGAATTGCCTGAACCCAGGAGGCGGAGGTTGCGGTGAGCCGAGACTGCGCCATTGCACTCCAGCCTGGGTAACAAAAGCGAAACTCCGTCTCAAAAAAAAAAGAAAGAAAGAGATAAACTTCTCAACTAGAGACATGGATCCCTGTTTAAAAAAGAAAAACACATTTCTGCCCTAGCCCGAACGAAGATTAATTACATACCCGTCTAGCCAGAAAGAAATCAGAAAAAGGTCTGGAAAATTATCTCTTAGATCTAAATGTCTTAGCTGCATTAGAAAGATTTGCTAGAAAAGAAATCAGGGCCAGCAATATTATTGTGCACAAGATAAGTCACCAAAGCAGATGACAGCCACTGTAAAGAAGTACAAAAATAAAACCTCAAGGGCACATCCCATAGAACTAGATACTTCCCTTACCCTGCAACTGGTAAAGCAGCCACCACTTTGTGAGTTTAAAACAATCACAGAGAAAAAATGTCACTTCAGGAGGTTGTAGAGTCCTAGAGTCACCTACTCCCTCTCTGGCTTCCCCAACCTCTGAGGAATGAGATTAATACAAACCACACACAACTACCAGTCATATCTTGGAAAGGGGATTCAAACAGCAATTTATAAACATGTATAAGGCAGTTAAAGAGAATTCAACCAGATTACTATGGGCAACTAACTGGTTTCCATAGTGAGCGAGAGTGCCTGGGGATCCACACTTCCCGCAGGGACCTGTACAATCCTGGGATGGGGGATTCCTCCTGACCCCAGGCATATAGATTGATACAGACAGCTGCCCAGAGTGTTTCCAGAGGCAACACTCAAGTCCACAAGGGACCGCCATAGGCCTTGGACCCCAGAACAGCCTGGTGCCATCTGCCATACCTCTAATACAGGCTGCAGTTGTGGTGGTAAGAATGCTCAACTCCACCCCAAAAGACAATGCTTGATGACAGCTTCTAGCACAGTGACCCCACTTCTGTCTAACAACTCTGCAGATGGGTACAGCCCCATGTTCTCCTAGGAAGCACCCAGACAGCCGAGTGAGCGACTCCTGCTACCCCTGCTGCTCATAGCCAGGAGACGCATCTCTGGCGGGGCTTCCTGTATAGCAGACCCATTTTTGCCTGAACAATTCAGGTGGGCACAGCCCTGTCTTCCCCTGGGAAGCACTCAGATGGTGGAGCAGGTGACTTCACCCACTCCTGCTCCTCCTAGCTGTGTGGGATGCACCAGTTGGGGCTCCAAGCAAAGTAGACCCACCTCTGCCTGAATTCTGTTAGTGGCACAGCTCTGTGTTCCCCTGGGAAGCACCCACATCATGAATAACTAACAATGAAATTCTGGCCTTAAACTGGACACTTGACCAACTGGAGCTAATAAACATCTACAGAATACTCCACCCAACAACTACAGAATATACAATCTTCTCATCCATACACGGAATATATTATAAGATGGACTACATGCTTGCCCATAAAGCTCTCAATAAATTTGGGGGAAAAAAAGAAAAAAGAAAGAAACCTATCAAGCATACTCTTGGACCACAATGCAATAAAAACAGATTTCAATACCAAGGTAATCTCTCAAAATAACAAAATACATGGAAATTAAACCACTTGCTTCTGAATCACTCTTGGGTAAGCAATTAAATTAAGGCAGAAATTTAAAAATTATTTGAAATTAATGAAAATAGAGACACAAATTACCAAAACCCTTGGGCTACAGCTAAAGTGGTGTTAAGAGGAAAGTTTATAAGTGGCCTCATTGAGAGGTTAGAAAGATCTCAAAATAACCATCTAACACTGCACCTAGAGGAACTAGATAAAAACAAAAAGAAGAATTCATCTTCAAAGCTAGTAGAAGAAAAGAAATAACCAAAATCAGAGACGAACTGAATTAAATTGAGATCCAAAAGTTCATGTCAAAAGATAAATGAAGAGTTCCTTTTTTGAAAGAACAAGATTGATAGCTCACTAGCTAGATTAGCAAAGAAAAAAAGTAGAAGATACTAGTAAGCACAATCAGAAATAACAAAGATGACATTATAAGAGAGCCCACAAAAAATACAAAAGATCCTCAAAGACTATTATGAACACCTTCATGCACACATATAAGAAAATTTAGAGAAAATGGTTAAATTTCTGGAAACTCACAACCTACTGAGATTGAACCAGGAAGAAAGTGAAAACTTGAACAGACCAATAACAAGCTCAGGAATGGAATCAGTAATTAAAAAACAAACAAACAAAAACCTACCACCTAAAAAGAGGCCTGGATGAGATGGAGTCATAGCTGAATTCTACCAGACATTCAAAGAACTGATATCAATCCTACTGAAACAATTCTAAAAAATCAAGGAGAAAGAGCTTTTCCCTAACTCTCTATACAAAGCTAGCATCATCTTGATATCAAAATTTGGCAGAGACACAATGAAGAAAGAAAACTTCAGGCCAATATCGCTTATGAACATAGATACAAAAATCCTCAACAAAATACTAGCCAACTGAATCCAAAAGCAAGCACAACAAAAATGTTCCTTCACCACCATCAGGTACTGTTTATTCCTGGAATGGGAGGTTGATTCCACATATGCAAATTAATAAATGTGATTCACCACATGAACAGAATTTTTAAAGACCATATGATCATCTCAATAGATGCAGAAAACATCTTCCATGAAATACAATACCCCTTCATGATAAAAACCCTTAACAGACAAGGCACTGAAGGAACACACCTCAAAATGATAAGAGCTTTCTATGAATGACAAACATAGAGCCAACATCATTCTAAATAGGCAAAAGTTGAAAGCATTCCTCCTGAGAACTGGAATAAGACAAGGATGCCCATTCTGACCATTTCTGGTACTAGAAGTCTGAGCCAGAGCAATTATGGAAGAGAAAGAACTGAAAGACATCCAAATAGGAAAACAAGATGCCAAACTATCTCTCCTTGCTGATGACATGAGTTACGTAGAATACCCTAAAGACTCCACCAAAAGGCTCCTGGAACTGATGAACAAATTCAGTAAAGTTTCAGGATACAAAATGAGTAGCATTTCTCTACATCGTTAATGTTCTAGCTGAGAACCAAATTCAGAACACAATCCCATTTACAATAGCCACAAAAAAGTGAAATATCTAGGAATTCATCTAATCAAGGAGGAGAAAGATCTCTACAAGGAGAACTATAAAACACTGCCAAGAGAAATCAGATGACAAATAAAGGGGAAAAAAATTCCCATGCTTACGGATGGGAAGACTCAGTACTGTTAAAATGACTGTACTTCCCAAAGCAATTTACGGATTCAATGCTATCCCTATCAAAATAGCAGTATCATTTTTCACAGAATTAGAAAAATGTATTCTAAACTTCATTTAGAACCAAACAAGAGCCCAAATAGTAAAAGCAATCCTAGGCAAAAAGAACAAAACCAAACACATCACATTACCCAACTTCAAACTATACTGGAAGGCTACTGTAACCAACATGTTACTGGTACAAAAACAGACAAACAGACCAATGGAACAGAATAGAGAGCTCAGAAATAAACCTGCACACCTACAACCTCTGACTTTTGAAAAACTGGCAAAAATAAGCAATGAGAAAACAACTCTGTATTCAATACACGGTGCTGAGATAACTGGCTAGCCATATGCAGAAGAAACTGGACCCCTACCTCTCACTATATTTAAAAATACTGGACCCCCCACCTCTCACTATATTTCAAAAAAACCAAGACACATTAGAGATTTAAATGGAGGACCTCAAACTATAAAAATCCTAAGGGAAAACCTAGGAAATACTCTTCTCAATATTGGCTTTGGAAAATAATAATGGCTAAGTCCTGAACAGCAACTGTAACAAAAAATTGATGACTGGTACCTAATTAAACTAAACAGTAAAATAAATGATCAATAAAGAGACAACTCACAGAATGGGAGAAAATATTAGGAAATTATGTATCCAACAAAGGTCTAATGTCCAGAATCTGTAAGGAAATGTAAAAGTTTAAAAAGCAAAAATCAAGTAACTCCATTTGTAAAAATGGGCAAAGGGGCTGGGCACAGTGGCTCACACCTGTAATCTCAGCACTTTAGGAGGCCAAGGTGAGAACATCACTTGAGGCCAGGAGTTCAACACCAGCCTGGCCAATATGTTAAAGCCCCATCTCTACTAAAAATACAAAAATTAACTGGGTAGCATGTTGCCTGTAATCCCAGCTACTCAGGAGGCTGAGGCATGAGAATTGCTTGAACCTGGGATGTGGAGGTTTCAGTGAGCCAAGATCATGCTACAGCACTCCCACTTGGGTGACAGAGCGAGACCCTTTCTCAAAAAAATTTAAAAACATGGGGGAAGCAAAGGACAGAAAAAGACACTTCTCAACAGAAGATATCAAAGCAGCTGACAAACATGAAAAAATGCTCAACATCACTATTCACCAGAGAAATGTAAATTAAAACCACAACAAGATAACATCTCACACCAGTCGGAATTCTGATTATTAAAAAAATCAAAAAATAACAGATGCCATCAAGGCTTCAGAGAAAAGGGAATGCTTATACACTGTTGGTAGGAATGCAAACTGGTTCGGCCACTATATAAAGCAATTGGGAGATTTCCCAAAGAAGTGAAAAAGAACCACTATTCAACCCAGCAATCCCACTACTGGGTATATACTCGAAGAAAAATAATTCAACCTTTCAAATATGTACAAACTGATGCTATGTCCAACTTTATGATGTCACTAAACCAGTGATTATCATCATGGGTCTGGTCACGACGACCCTCTTGGTGGAAATAATTACTGGTAACTCTAGCCATGACTATAGGAACAGGCATACTCCTTGGCTGTGGATTATACTGCTGCTGCACTACACGTGTGGGATTGCAAGATCGCCTCTCTGAAGCTCCTGACACCCTGTTCAATGATGTTACGACAAAACTGCCCAAGTCCTGAGATGTGAATATTTTCAACTGCAGGTAAATAAGTTCCATTCCTCAGCCCACTAGGAATGCCCCTTGCCATCAGGAAGTAGTCAGACTGAGTCAACACCCCAACTCAAGACTGAGGAATGGAACAATGTCAGTGGGGATACCATAACACAGCGTATCATCAGGTATTTATTCTATTTCTTTTTCTTTCTCTTTGTCCCTAACTTCCTCCAGGCAGGATTGCTTGCATGTAGTCATTTTGGTAGAGGGAAGTCACTAAGAAGTGATGAACTTCATATCCTAATCCTCAGAAGCTGCCTACAAGATTAATGTACTTTTTTTGTTTTTTAAAGAAAACTGATCCTTAGGTCATGCTGACATCCTTGATGGCATCCACAAGTTTGACTGGCCGAGGGACACAAACAGCTTTGATCATCAAGGAAAGCCCCCAACTACATAAAAAGGAAGGTCAGATTTGAGACTCCCACCCTCATACTTTGGCCAAACTGAATAAGCCTTCCTAAGCATTAATGTCATTGTTTGGCTTACTGTGCATCGGGTATGTGAACCTAACTTTAGGGGTTCTTACTACAGCAACCTGACTGAGCTAATCAGTTACACACAAGAACAGCTGAGCTACATTATCTCCTTAAGATCAGGGTCCAGACGTTGTTCATAGATGAGAAAAGAGAAAATAACGTGTGCAACATCAGACATTCAATGACACAAATCCTCAAAATCAGGTATTTTAAAAAATGAAGCCAATGGTGGGGCATGGTGCTCATTCATGTCTGTAATCCCAGCACTTGCGGCCAAGGCAGGAGGATTGCTTGAGCTCCGGAGTTCAAGACCAGCCAGGGAAACAAAGTGAGACCTTATCTCTACCAAAAATTTAAAAATAAATAAATTTTAAAAACTTAAATGAAGCCAAGTTGCTCAAGCAGTCATCAAGTATTTACTAAGGCTTACTATGTGTTATGATATTGAAACAATTCTTTGAGCCAGCAAAGGCTTCTGGCTTCCTCTGCAAGTAAAAATAATTACCCTCCCAATGATCTGTCTGTGTGTTCCACATGTATAGCAGCAGAAGAGGCAACTCAGAAAAAGCAAAGATAGGCCAGGCACAGTGGCTCATGCCTGTAATCCCAACACTTTGGGAGGCTGAGGTGAGTGGATTTGCTTGAGCTAAGGGCAACATGGCAAAACCCGGTCTACCGAAAAAATTAGCCAGGCATGGTATCCATCCACACCTGTAGCCTCCAGCTACTAGGGAGGCTGAGGTGGGAGGATCACTTGAGCCCATGAGACAGAGCTTGCAGTGAGCTTAGATGGCACCACTGCACTCCAGCCTGGGTGACAGAGCAAGACCCTGTCTCCGGGCAGGGAGTGGCGGAAGAAAGGGGATAAACCACAACTCCACTGTAAGAGGCAACTGGAGAAAGATCCCAGGAGGCTGTATTCAACAGTGGAGCAATAACAACACAGTACTCTTGCCAGATATCCTCAGGCTTTAAATCAACATAATTCCACTCTGTTCATCAAGTAACCTTTACAATCTATAAAAGTTTTCAAGTTTTCCGGATAGTTCTACGCAACTGATGACAATGACACTGCCAGATAAATTACTCACTATAATTTATGAAGTCAGCAATATGGCTTATCAGTCAGTCTCTCTTGCTCAATTGGCAATACACTCCAGCCTGGGTCACAGAGCGGGATTCCACCTCAAAACAAAACAAAGAAAACATACTATTAATTACATATAGTGACCTGGTTCTAAAGGAATTATCTCCTATGTCGATTTTAATACAAATTTTGAACAGTTATAAACAATAGCCGGGCGCGGTGGCTCACACCTGTAATCCCAGCACTTTGGGAGGCTGAGGCAGGTGGATCACCTGAGGTTAGGAGTTCGAGACCAGCCTGACCAATATGGTGAAACCCTGTCTTTAAAAAAAAAAAAAGAAAAGAAAAGAAAAGAAAAGAAAGATATCACTTGGGTCAATAACAGAACATAATAAAAACAATAGAAATTTCTGTATATAAACACACACATATCACAATTCTAGTCAGGAAGAAATACATAGAAAAACAAGAAAGAATTTTTAAAAATAATTTACAAGGGAAATTCTTAATGTTTCAGTCCTAAAATATGGTCTTCCTTTAGAAATATATAAGACTGAAATAACTGACTTTTTTTCCTGCAGTACTGTAATTACTGCAGATTTATCAGCAGAGGTAAACAGCAATTTAATTTTTCCTTAAGCTTGAACACAGAAAGAAACAATAAAGAAACCTCATTAGACCTGATCTAATTAAAGTCATACCAGTAATCTTAAGGCCAGCTCGGGTCTCCAGGTGCTATTCCAGGACAGGTTTGTAACACTGGGTCCATTCCCAACAGGCTGGATAGGATAGTTCGGAGTAACTGTCAGGACACCACCTTCTTCTCTCCTGAGCTGCTCGACTGGCATTTGGCTTCACATTCCAAGTGTACCTCCTGTGTGAATAATCTTCTCCAGAGGGACCAGGAGGAGGGATATGGCCTCTCTGGTAAACATCTGGATTCTGTGAAAACGTTCTTAAAGCAAAACAAAAAGTAATAACCCATTACTAGGATTAACAAAATAATTTTTATTTTAAATTTGTATTTTTATATATTTTAAATTCATAAATCTACAAAATAATATACATTCTACTGTTTCTTACCTGTGTGACCTTAGCAGATAAACTGCCTAACTTTTATTTCTCTAAGTTCTTTTCCCTATAAAGAACTCAGGGAAATAAAAGTTGAGTAGTTTATCTGCTAAGGTCACACAGGGCTAATAACACTTTCCACCTTCATGGGCTGTTATGAAGCTAAATTAAGAAAATACATTTCAATTACCTACAATGCCCTGGCACAGAGTGGATTCCCAGAAGCCTTTCCACCTTTCCCTACAGAGACAAACGCACGGAATGCATGCCCATACTATTCTAATTAAATAATTTCTCTCCCCCAAAGTCTGGTAGGATTGACATAAGACACAATAAGCTATTTAGTACTGAAAACAGCTGCTTCCACTTTATAAACAAATATACATAAATTACAAAGTATAGAACAACTTTAACCATGGTACATGCACAAATTTGAAAAAACAGGATTCAAATTTACTTGTTTATACAAAAGAAAAATTGGAAATCTGAGAAACGAAAAAATAACCCCCTGCTGCAGAGCCCTCAATCCCATTTATTACAATTCAATTAGTTAGAATTTCCTTTTGTTCTTTTCCCAGCATCTTTTTCTGACTGTTGAATCACAGCCTATTATTTTCACTTATCATAATTATGCTACCACTTTCAATGGCTTTATAAAATGCTATATAGTATGGATATAATAACATTTAGCTATATTCTCCACTGTTCCACAAATGATGCTGGGATTAACATCGCAAATCATATACTACCAGATCCTGAGCCAGCCCAGGGTCTGACACATGGTAGGGAGTTTGAGAAATGTGCTGAAGGATTAAGTAAATACAGCTTTTCCTGTATTTTGAAGTATTTCCTTAGTCTCAAAATGAAATTACTAGGTAAAGCATTTTTACGGCTCTTGAAAAGTGTTTCAAAAGGCTTAAACCAATTTTCAATGCCACTAGCAACATGTTTTTAAAATGTTTGTTTACATCTTTTAAAAAGGTCAAGTTTCAGGCTGGGCACAATGGCTCATGCCTGTAATCCCAGCACTTTGGGAGGCTGAGGAAGACAGATCACTGAGGTCAGGAGTTTGAGACCAGCCTGGCCAACATGATGAAACTCCGTCTCTACAAAAAATGCAAGAAAAAAAATACAAAATGCTGGACCTGGTGGTGCGAGCCTATAATCCCAACTACTTGGGAGACTAAGGCTGAAGAATCTCTTGAACCTGAGAGGCGGAGGTTGCAGTGAGCCAAGAATGCGATTTTGCACTCCAGCCTCGGCGGCTGAGCAAGACTCTGTCTCAAAAAAAAAAAAAAAACCTTAAAAAAAAAAAGGAAATTTTTTAAAGTTCTTTTTTCTTTTTTAATAAAAACAGGGTTCCAGGCCAAGAATGATGGCTTGTACCTGTAATCCCAGCACTTTGAGAGGCTGAGGTGGGCAGATTACCTGAGGTCAGGAGTTTGAAACCACCCTGACCAACATGGAGAAACCCCATCTCTACTAAAAATACAAAATTAGCTGGGTGTAGTGGGTGGTGCATGCCTGTAATCCCAGCTACTCGGGATGCTGAGGCAGGGGAATCCCTTGAACCCAGGAGGTGGAGGTTGCGGTGAGCCTAGACTGCGCCATTGCACTCTAGATTGGGCAATAAGAGTGAAAATCCGACTCAAAAAAGAAAAACAAACAGGGTTCCAACATGTTGCCCAGGCTGGTCTCCAACTGTTGGGCTCAAGCAATCCTCCCACCTCGGCCTCCCTAAGTGCTGAGCCAACATGCATGGCCTAAAAATGCCAACGTAGTTTTGAAAGTGTTTACAATGTGCTCAACTGTTTAAAT